TTATGAAGTCTTACCAAGTGCACTATTTTACTTAATTTGAAAAGACTGAGACTATAATCTTGTATTCTTTAATTTTTAGAAGGCTCACTTGCATAAGAATCAGGAGCCAAATAATAGTAATGGACCTTATGCAAGAACTGTTTAAACTAACAGATTTGTTCTTAAGTTGTGCGTATGAGTGATTTAAGAGAACTACAGCTCAGCTCAGAGAACACTTGCTGGTACAAAGCACCGCCTGTTTGTACAAAATTCCTCCCTGGGGCTCAGTCTGCAGCCAAGCTCCCACCCCAAAGAGCACCCCTCCCTGAAGCATTGTTATAAAGATGTGCTGAAGTGGGGGATTTGGAAATAGTTCTTAAAGAGACAGAGGCCGATTTCAAGGCGTTTAATAGACTGTAATGTGAAGTAAAGTTTATTTTTGATACATACAGCATTTTCATAACAACCGAGAATAACATAGGTGCTTCATTGTGGTATAAAATTGAACTATGTGCCTAGAAATTGCACAGTTTAATTTTGGTAAACTGTACCTTTTACACACACCCCTTTTAACTGCACAAACTAAATCTACATCTTTTAGCCTTTTATAGAAGAAGCACATTTAAGTTTCCTCCAATAAAGACACAATTTATGGATGCATTATGCTGAAACTCTTATCAAAAATAAAATTCATTCAAACATCACTCCGGCTGCTGCTGGTGAGAAGCTACAGGTCAGGATTCTAACTGGGGCTGTTAGGAGCCTGCATCTTTATTTATCTCTGCTCTGCCTCAAAGCCTTCACATTTCATCCTCGGTTCCATCATTAGGAAGCTTCAGGTCTGTAATTCAGAAAAGAGTGCTTAGTTATTACTGTGGGGCAGGAGGTCATGGCAGCGTGACAGAAAGCAACCTTGTAAAATGTTGACTGGGTGTTTGTTAAAGTCAGGAAATGGCTTATGCAAGACTTTCAGAGTGAAAACGAGAGTCAGGAGCGATGAGCGAGAACGGAAGTGGAGAGCCTCTGGCTGAAATGTGGGCACGCATACACTAACATAGTGTTCCCTCATTTATTTAGTGTTTGCATGTGTAATACGTGCATTTACAAATGTACACAAAAAATGTATAGAAACCCAACGGCTGTTATTATTAAGCTTGGAGAGAAATTCATAAAATGAAGCCAACATCTGATGAAAAATTCATCTATAAATAGAATACTCCTGTTGAATGTTTTTTTTTCTACTTAACACCTCAGTAAGGGAGAATTAATTAAAAAATAGTTATTATGAGAGCTTTCAGCTAAATGTTACACAACAGCAAAACAAGTTATGAGAAAGGTTTATGATTCTCAAAAGTGGCTTTAATAAAAATATTCATGTAAAAAGTAAAACAGATATAAATCAATACATTTTCATTTGAATATAGTGTTGAGACTGAAGTTTGATCCTAAACTAAGGTTTCTTAGCATTACTCTTACTTCAAAAGTTTTTGTGTTTTGTATCTTGTGTTGTGAGACAGATCTGCTGAGTGTTGTGTCTTGGATACTGCAGTATGCTGCAGTGTAAATTGGACTTGTGGGACCCATGTAGGCCTTAGGGCTGAATGCAAGTAAGAGAGGAACCATGGTGAACTACAATAACATTAGATGAGACGCTTTCAGTTCAATTACCTCCAACATGATTGTGTTGTGTTTTTCCTCATTCTATTGAGAATAAAATCTGACCATACCGTCACTTTTTGACTCGAACACCACCTGAAAATTAAGATCACCTGTCCGAACAAAATTATTATTACAAGTACAGATTCATTTGGGTTAAAGTGGCATAAAAACATGAGTAAAACATGATAAAGGTGAGAAATCAGGCAGGTTTTAGATGGTGTAAACCTTCAGGGTGTTTTTGAAAACAATATTTTCACTAGCACAAAACAAATTTCCAGCTCTGTGCTGCATTTGATTATGTGAAAATTTGTTTTTGAAATATTTTTTGTCATTTTCTACTAAGGTGTAGCTTGTATTTTTTTTAATCTTCTATCTACAATACTTTTCTGGAGGATTTCAGTAAATCTATTTATTATGGTTTCCCCCACCACCAAAACATGTACAATAGGTTGCCTTCAGGCCCAGGCCTCCCTTGAAAAAGAGATCTGCAATCTCAACTGGACTTGTCTTGTTAAATAATGGAAAATAAATTATCAGTAGCCAAAGCCAAACAGAAATGTATTCATATTTGTACTTTTTATTTACGAATCATGGAGCATTAGATCTGCCTCTCTCTCTCTGACCTTTCCGGTGTTATCAGCACGGCCCCTGCTAGCTGTTGTGAGGAGCCATTACGCTGACACCTGCGGTGTGTGAGAGCTGTGGCTCTGCTAAGTGGGGACGGCAACCTTGAAGCTGTCACAGGCTGTGAGGATGAGATGGCATGTGGCCTGGGTTTGGTGGCAGATGGTGAAACCCTGCTGTCAGATTTTGGGAGAATACAGCTGAGTTAATGCTGCAGTTTTGCGAGCAATTCCGGAACTCGAGGAGTCACTGTCACGTAGAGTTCAGCCATGCTTCGATTTGTCACAAGTTTCACTGCTACAGAAAAAAGGGCTGATTAAAAGCAACATATTTAAAATATTCTCTCCGAAAAGATTATTCATGTGCTCTTTTAGTTGTATAGAAAGAACTGTAAATTATGAATCAAAGCATACAGGTGTTTATTTGATACTCTTTTACTTTGAGCCCCCGTTGAAACAAATCAATGTGTTTACAGGGCTGGGAGAGGGGTATTATGCAGGTTGACTTCTTTGAGCTTTATATCATATGTCATTCCCTCATCAAAAACATACTTAGTGTTTGATTCATTTAAGAAATCCTTGAATCCATGTGGAGCTGCCTAAACACTTGCTGGTACAAAGCTCCACRTATTTACCCAAAGCTCCTCCCTGGAGCTCAGTCTGCAGCCGAGCTCCCACCCCAAAGACTGACCTTCTTCCCCTGTGCCTCCACAATTAGCAAACACCTGGTGGAACTTCATATAAATTGAGTTTATAATCCTAAATAATCTTAGTCCAGTCATTTTTTTTTGACAAATAAAAATGCCTTAATCAAGGAAATAGAGTTTTAAATGCGTTAGAGCCCGGCTCTTGAGTCAGTAACAAAGAAAGGGAGAACACGACACCAGTCACCGTTTTAAGTCCTTTAGAGGCCTTTATTAAAACAAAGTCTAGGAGTTTTGTGGGCAGCGACTCAGGTACGCTGGTGTCCACCTGGGAGMTGCCGAACTGGCATGTGTGCCTCACCACCTGGCCCTCTGCCATGCACCGAGCTTCAAGCCTGGATCAGCGTCAAGCAGGACCTCAATCATGACTCCCAGGCATATCATCTCACACGTCTGCCATCTCAGTCATGCTCCCACCAGACCTCGTCACGACACACCAAACCAAACACCAACCAACCCACCAGCCAACTACTATATAAGGAATGGAAGCTCCTTATATTCGCTCCATGTAACCTCATGTGACCTTGGGCTCCTCCCTTTCCAGTACTTTGAAGAAAGCACAATTAGGCACCAGCAGGGGCCATCAGAAATGCCAAGGAAACTATCCTCTTACAGCACTTCTAGGATAGGTTATAAATGGCATGAAGCAATGTTGTGACGACGTGCTGAAGTGGGAGTGTCAGAAATGGTAGGAGGTTCTTAGAGAGACGGAGGCCAATTTCAAGGTGTTTAGAAAGGCTATGATGCAATGAGAACAGATAATGAGATCTTGTGCAATATGGTCATGCTACCTTTTGCAGCTTGGAAATACACAGTAGGATATACGAGTTAAAAAAGATGCTCTGATCCTATGTTTACTCATAAACACAGAATCACATGCACAAAAAAACGACTCTCTAGAGCAAGGCAGCTGGGGAGGGGAGGGGCTGGGGATCAAACACATGGTACGYGGGACAGGATTCAGTGGAGTCGGTGACGTTCCAGGTTAATACTCCATGCTAGAACCAATCCAAGACCAGTCAGAGTCCAGAAACCAGATCTTATCCTCCCAAGCTCAGTCCCAGAGTTCAGGGTTTCCCCTTTCTCAATCACCACGGCCTTCAGACTGATCCTCACGGATTATACGGGGATAGGGAGTGGYGAATCAATCCTTTGTTGACATACAGTATCCTCCCAGGAAGTTTTGATGACTGCTGACTGACCAAGGCCAACAGCTGCTGGGATCCAAAAGATGAACACAATTGTTTTGGGACAAGCCGCTTTACAGTCTTAACTGCATCTCTGAAATGGCAAAAAAATGCAGAATGTTCCAAATTTCATCACCTCCTCGCCTCTTTCTGTCTGAAACTTCACACAGGAGTAATCCTACATCTCATGGGCACGCTGCTGAGCCACGATTCTCATCAGAATCACACACAGTTTGCAACGTATTTTCCCCAGCGTCTGAGTCTGTGTGTTACCAGTACGGGAGATTCCGTCCATGGTTCCTGACAGCCTCTCACAGGCCTGGACTGCTGTCAGGATCACTTTCATTTTCTGATTAGCCAGATATCCACCTCCGCCGATCAGCAGAAATCCAACTATCATAAATCCAAATATGTACAAATCTCCCACATCTTCGATGGAAAGCGGTGCCAGAGAGATCAGGTTCCAGCCCCAAGAACCAGTGACCCGACCAGCAGCAACCATTCCACTGGGACAGCTACGTTCCCCTCGTTCCAATCTCAGTGTGGAAAAAATAGTGTCAATTGCGTTCAGAGACCAGTTGACCAAATCCATAATTCCTTTTYTTTTTGGATGATAGATAGAAGAAAGGCTTGAAAAAGCTGCGAAGCAGGAAAGGAGGGACAGGGACAGGTTCAGGAGAGAGAGTAAAAAGCATCCGACTCCTCCTGAAGGCCAAGCAGAAAAATAAAATAAAATAAAAAAAATTCACATTGGAAGAATAAATTCACAGTGGAGAGTTCGTGCAGAACTGTGTGGCTTTTATTCGTATCCTCAATTTGARGCTGATTTTTCTCCTTTTGTATTTCAGGTCTCCATTTGGAACAAACAGTAGAGCTGCTCGGCCTACTTTCAGATACCAGTAAGTTTTCTTTTACTGCGTCTCGACAGGTTATTATAGCATAATGTCATGGAAAAGATTGTGAGACGGTTTTTTTCAACCACATTGGGTATTTCAGTCCTCCTCAGCTGGATAGACACTTCAGACTTGATAGGATGTCCAGTTTTAGGTGCTCTCAATCACAGCTAAAGTCAGACGTGAAGTTAGGAAGGTAACAGATAAACTAGCAAATATTAGAAGACTATTAACTTGTCTGCCTTTTCACTGACTGTTGTACCTGTGAAATCCTCCATTAGAATATTTTTCATGCAATTTTTTTACTAAGCGTGTTACCAACTTTGGTTCCAGGTGYAAAACGTGAGAATGTAACACAGTTTCTGTGCTTGGTTAATACCTGTATGCATAAAAGACAAATCAATAAAATAATGCCACTGACATATTTTAGTGCTTTGCAGAATCTATCTGAAAATGCTGTTATTTAATAACACAACACTGTGCAAATCCTATTAGTTTTTATATAAAATATTTCAGTATTGTACAGCTGTAGTTACAGTACCCAAACTGTGAAAATAAAAGCTGTGTGAAGACCTGAAAAATGCAGAAATTTGCCAATAAAAAGTAAAAGGTGTAGAAATATAGCTGAAAGGGGCAGAAAAAGCTGAAGAGGGCCAAAAGAAAGTGAAAGGAACAAAAGAAAAAATTAAAGTAGTAGAAGAAAAGGTCAGAATGATGGCTAAAAAAACAGCAAAAAGCTTAAATCGGCAAAATAAAAGCTGAAGAAAGTTGAACCAGAACAAAAAGTAAACAGTACAGTAAAGTTTTATTAAAATTTTAAAGGGTTTTATGGATGTTGAAGACATGAAAAATGGCAGAAAAAGCTAAATGTGTCCAAAAGTACAAGTAGCTGAAGTACCAAAAAGTTGTAGCCGGAATTTCCTGAAGGAGCTGAAGTATGTGAATGCCTCAAAGCGTTTGCACTATGATTGGCATAAGAAAGTAATTAAATAATTAGTATTTTATGTATATTTATTAAATAATGTCTCCACAACCATCTCTTAATATGACACAGATCTGTGAAAATAACAAATAAAGCAGCATCATAGAAAGCTGAATCGGGGTGAAGGAAGAAGACACAAAACATTTGAGCATCTCTGTGAGCCTCACCACACTGCCTCCCTCATCATTTATTAATTTTTCTGTAGAAATATTCATCCACCCTGGTGCAGCACTGTCCCACTAGACAGAGAAATAATTAGGGCTCTAGATCATCCTGACACCCCACAGTCTTCTGTTAGTCTTTGTTATTGTAGTTTTTAGGGGTTTTCATTCATGAACTACTTCCATTCGTTTCTTCTAATTTCAAATTTACAATCGATTTTGATAAACAAAAAAGGACAGGGCAATGTTCTTTGTTCTAAAACCCTGCCTGGGACTGTCTGCAATCTTGAAATTTTGTCAGTCTCCGGAACCGCAGACAATTTTCACAACCAGTCTTTGTCAAAGAAAGGCTCCATCCATCTGCGTGTCAAAGATAGTATTTATCCACGGGTGTTTGGATTTAAAAAATAAACGTCAGCAGGAGAGCAGTTTTGTGGATGACTGCATTCGGAGTCCGTTGCAATGATGTGTGCTCAGTCTGCCGTTTACTCCTCTCCCTTTTATTCTGATTAAATGCTTTGATGTAAAGGGAAAGCTGCAGAATTATTAATGTGTCTGCTGGTGAGTCATACTGGGATTGTAAGTCATAGTGGGATTTGATGCCACATTGTGCAGTCACTCATATCTGTCATCAAAAATGCTTCCAACTGCTACTTTTCACATTTAAAGTAGATCTTCAGTGTTTATTTTAAAATGTTTTGTGTTTGACATTGTATATTATATTTGCATTTTGTTTGTTTTATATGCTTAACACGTTGTCAAGCTATTATCAGAGGTGGGCACGGTTATGCTAAATAGCTAAAAGCAGATATAGCTTCTCAATTAGCAGATTAGCGTTGTTGCTAACTTTGGAGATTAGCGGAAGCTAATTGGTCCYCTAATGTTTTCCAGTTTATAAACTTCAGTTTATATGCAGTTTATCCAGAATTAAATAAAAATGATCCCTTCTTACAAGCAGTGTTGGACATGTCAGGCTGTGTGTGTGTTTCAAATAATGAATGACTGCGTATAAAATACGATAAAGTATTTCCTTTTTGTTGTTTGAATACGTTCCTACCCTCACCTATGGTRACGAATTTTGGGTAGTGGCAGAAAGAACAAGATCGTAGATACAAGCGGTCGAAATGAGTTTTTTCCACAGGGTATCTGGACTCTCCCTTAGAGATGGGGTGATAAGTTCAGTTATCCAGGAGAGACTCAGACTAGAGCRGCTGCTCCTCCACGTCAAGAGGAGCCAGTTGAGGTGGTTTGGGCATCTAGTAAGGATGCCTCCTGGACGCCTCCCTAGGGAGGTGCTTCAGGCATGTCCAACTGAGAGGAGACCTCGAGGAAGACTCAGGACACGCTGGAGAGACTGTCTCTCGGCTGGCCTGGGAACTCCTTGGAGTTCTCCCAGAAGAGCTGGAAGAGGTGGCTGGGGGAAAGAGGTTTGGGTTTCCCTGCTCAAGCTGCTGCCCCCGCAACCCGACTTCAGATAAAGCGGAAGATAATGGATGGATGGATAGATGTTTGAATATTTTCAAACAATATTTATAAACAAATATTAACTCGATGAAAGACATGGTTTTATTCTGAAATGAGTAATCTGGAATTATTATAAATTAAACAGGGCTGTAACTCTGGTTTGAAATGGCCGATTTGCCACAGATGAGCCCACCCACCTTAACATTAAATGAATAGAAAACTAAGAACGTTTGTCAGTCCCAACTGGATGGAGATGAAAACGTGACTCAGATTGAGTAATCTTAGCATTTAGCCTCAGCTTCCACTAATTTTGTAACCTGTTTAGCGGAATACTGGTTAGTGAACGTTTTGGTTAGCAGTGCCCACCACTGGTCAAATTGTCAAATCAACCGAGCCAGCAGCACAACTGTAAGAAATTGCTTGCCTTTTTTTCATTGATTTCTTGTAGCTCTCAGAGAAATGTCAGCAGATCATCTTTCAGGTGAATAATTGCCTTTTTTATCTACAACTAAACCAGCTCGTTCAGCGTGTTTAATAGAGGTAATCTACGGTTTTTAAGTCAAACTAAAAGACCAGATACCGAGAACTGTGATGTAAYGGGATTTAAAGGAGCGCAGGAATAATCCAGATTTATGTCATCATGGGATCAGTGATGCCGTTCATCAATCCAATGAGACCATTCTGTCTCAAACGATCCCRTCCTCCTTGGAAACAATGACATCTGTTCTCAGAAAATGATGAAGAAGCAGTTGTCTAATTTAACTTTTCATTAAAAAAAGCGTGTTTCCTTACTGACCAATATGTTCATGCTGACGCAAAATAAAATCCTCAAATAACAGGGCTCCTATCACAATATTGTTTTCGTAAATTCTTTCGTTTTTCTTTATTTTGTTTTATTTTTTTGCAATCTTATTTGTAGTGTTTTAGGCATTCCTATACTAAACAATGGGCTCATTCAGAAATACACTGTATTGCTAAAAGTATTTGCTCACCCATCCAAATGATTATGCACCGGTGCACAAAGCAAGGTCCAAGGACATGGATAGCAGAGTCTGGTGTGGATGAACTTGACTGGCCTGCACAAAGTCCTGACCTCAACCCTACAGAACACCTTTGGGATGAATTAGAGTGGAGACTGAGAACCAGGCCTTCAGTCCAACATCTGTATGTGACCTCACAAATGTGCTTCTGGTCAAAAATCTCTATAAACACACTCCTAAACTTTGAGGACAGCCTTCCCAGAAGAGTTTAAGCTGCAATACCAGCAAAGGGTGGACCAAGATCATATTGAACCCTATGGATTAGTGATTATGTCACTTAAGCTCATGTGAGTCAAGGCAGGTGAGCAAATACTTTTGGCAATATAGTYTAGATGCTATGGCTAACATACAAACAGGAGCAGACACCATTAACACCACCTAATGCTATCAGATGCATATTTGTTAATAGTATGGAGGTACTGTATAATACTGAAATGGAGCATCTCATTGTCAAACTGCAGCGATGATGTGTTGCTGCATGGCACATTTTTCGATGAGAAATCTCTGGGAGATTTCCCCAAAGAAATCTAGGTTTAGCAGTCCGCGATCTTAAAATAGCTTTTGAATCATACATTATTACACAGCAAGCTTRCCTCCCTTTGTCAAACTCCACTTGCTGCAGTGTTTATTGCCTTCTTGTTTTCTCCAGGCTGCCACTTTTGAGAAGAATCCCCCAACCTGATTAGCATAGCTTTATAGTTGATGTGAGGAAACTCACAGGTGGCTTTTGTCTCTCACTAGTTATTAACCTTAAGGATGGTGGGAGTGGGGAAAAGAAGCAATTATTGATTATGCAACGTGCACATGAAAAGACATTAGCGAGTCTTTTTGAAGCGGCGCCGCTATGCGAGGCAGGTATTATGTGTTAGCAGAGAGTGGAGCTGGGCAGATTTCAATCTTCCAGCCTGACTGTGTGCGTTTCCCCCCTGGGTTCAGTAAAGTATAAAAGATGCTGAGAGGTGTGGCGCTCTGCCTGCTTTTGGAGAACTGATGTGACATTTTCACACACGCGCTTGCACGCGCACCACATTTAGTCAGACGCAACAAACCAGAGACACTCTGTCACCTGACCCACATTCTCACACAGGTGTGAGAAACTAATGCACACGCAGATAAACATTCGCACTCGGATAAGAAAAATGTCAGTGTGAGGCGACAAGGCTGGTGATTAAAACACGGCTTTGTTGCCTGATTGAATGATTACGGTTAAAGGCCTACTAATGCTAACGAATGCATATCGCCCGCCACCTTTCACGCCAGAGTTGACCAGCGCCCGTTCACGAGTGAAGAAAGATTGAAGGAGAGCTGATGGAGCGAGCCTCACTGTATATGTCGACCTGTTTTCCCAATGGGGGGAGA